AAACTGGGGTACACCTATAGGATTTGCTTTATCTAATAAGGAAAATATGCATACAATAAGACTTGCTGTTGAGGCAATAAAGGCAAATATACCTTGTCGAAATGTAGATTGTGAACATCCATATGAATATATTACACTACCAAATAATAAAGGATTTAAGCACATATGACCATGTGCAATTGAATGGAAACCTTTTGCAGTAATGGACAAACATCGACCAACAAAGGCTGCATTGAAACCTATTATTCGTGATACAATCCTTTGTTGGTTCCATATAATGCAGACTTTTAGGAATCATTTTCGAACACAAAAAATTGATTGGAGTCTACAGTAATATACAATAATTAATTATATTAACTATACAATACTATAATTATATTACTTATATATACATTATATTATTTAGTTATCCAATAGCATTGGCATTTAAGATTGTAGGCCGATGTAGAAGTGTATTCGAAGCAAAAGAAATGGCTATTGAATATAAGAGTTTTATATATTCACTTCCAATTTCTATAGAGGCAAAAACGTTTTTTGTACGTGATCTTGAAGAGAATTGGATAAGTTAAGAGTGGATTCTTGGCTTTATAGATGGTGGGCGTTTACCAAATTATGAAGATAGAACTAATGTAAGGCCATGGACCACTAATAATTTTACTGAACGAATGAACAGAACTATTGAGGAGCGATATTCGGGTACTCAAACAGTGTTAAGTTTTATTGAACGACTTTATGGTATTAAAGTTGTTCGTTCAAACCTTACAAATAATTGTGATCAGTTAGTTTTTAATGCAGGACTTGTTACATATTAGAACTCACGTACTATTGAACATCAAAATGGATTATATAGACCACAACCAGATATAGTGCGTCGTATTAACCAAGGAAGATTGAAAGTGCTACAAAACTATGTTATTGAAGTTCCAGACAAGCAAAATTTATTTTATGTACGTATGAGCAATTCACAGCAAAATACTTTTCGATCTCCATATATAGCAGATAAAATTAAGTTTGAAGATAATGAAGCTCAAGGGATATCAAAGATGATTAAAAAGCTTGCGGCAAAGCATATAGCTCCAGTATATGCTGATTACTACTTAGTTAATTATATTACAGGTGAATGCACTTGCCTTAATTTTATCTGGCATGGATCATTTCATAATTTCTGTAAGCATGGTTATGCGGCACGTGAATATGTATTTATAAAATCGAATGAAAAATCAGTTGATCAAATAAAAAATGAGCTAGTTCAATATTTTCGAAATAAAGAACGAACAATATCACCTAATATGAAAAATAGAGTAATCTATAATGGAACTAATGAAGAAGCTTTTGCGGAAATTTTGCGTGAGCATCAAAAAAATGGAGATAATATTTTTTTTCTAACTGTGAAGCAAATTAATGAAAATGATCCTTATAGACCTAGTGAACTTCCAAAACGAAAACATACTACTGTTGGCTTGTCAAAAGTTAATATCGAAACAAAGAATCAAATAGCTATTGAAAATAAAGTATATTTAATTATTTAGGTCAAATTAATACTTAGTACTATAGTATACTAATTAATATACTGTATTTTCTAGGCTTTAAATAATCATCACGATACTTATACATTTAATGAAGATATTAGCACAATTACTTTAAATAATAGTGAAACCAATCTTGATAATTCGAATAAGTTATCCATTATAATGGAAGATTGTAATGATCAAGATTCAATGCTAACGCCAAGCTCTAGTAATAATATTTCAGAATCAGCGTTCACTTCCTCTATTCAACCCAAATCAAGGAATGTAAGTATAATTCTCTTATAGTGTTATATATTTGATTAAATAATAAATTTTGTATTAACTTATATTAAAAAATTAAGCCATTAGTCCCCCTTACAGCTATTGAAAATATGAATATACCACATTCTGTTGAACAGCTTCGAACTAAAAGAATTTGAAATAACAAATGCAAAGGTGCATTAGAATATGTAAGTAAATTTTATACATTTTGATATAAAAACTTCAAGTATTTTTCTTATTGCTTCATAATATTCTCTAGTCGAATTTACAGAATAAAAATACTGAAATTGTTTTGTCGCTGCCACCACTAAGAAGAAGAAAAATTGATAATCCTGCTTTGGAAGAGCTTTTTGATAAGCAAGGTATAGGTTGGAATCGAAAGGAATTTGCCAAGGAATGTCAAGTTCAAAATATCCGTCTAGATTATGATGATATTATTAATACAACCAAGTTAGTTAGTTGGTTTGATCACAAAAAAAATAAGACCAAATCTTGCAATACTGCAACTGAAATTTAAGATCTTGATAATGTAAAAAACTAAAAAGCACCACATCAATAATCATAATATGTAATAAGTAGCTTTATTATATATTTTATAAATAAGCAATTAAATAATAAAATGCTTTTTACAGTAACTATTAAAAGAAAGTAATCTTATATAAACATATACTTTTATTTATTATTTAACGTATCTTTGTAAGTTTTGATAATATACGAATGCCTTATGCTTAACTTTTCAATACCAATTCTATATTCATTCGACTTTCAATTAAACTATGATTTTTATTTTTTGTTCTAGAGTTTGTATTGAAATATATAAATACATTTAATAATAATAATTATTAAAAGCAAGTACAACGTTTATAAATTAATAATGCCTAATTTACGCTTTCTTTTAGCTTTCACATTTAACAATACACCTGTACCAATTAAAATTAATAAGATATAACGATGAGTCTTCATATATTCAAGCGACAAACTTATTTATATTTGTATTCATTCGACATAGTATAATTATTAACTTACTTGAGCTTTGCTTTTGATATTATACTATATTCGTCTCATTTG